AAAAAAAAGATCGCGACCAATTTGTTGCTTGGGAATGTGACATTTGTCTCATTTTTATTTTTTTGTGTTAAAAGATAAAAAAAATACAAAATTTTGTACTTTTTCATTCTCTAAATATAAAGACCAAATTTGATAAATTTTAGAACATAATTGCAATTCATAAATAAAAAAATAAATAAATATTTTAAGTTGACTTAAGTTGAGAATAAATATAATTTGAATTAAAATGTTGGATTGGTAGGTGAAAGAGAGAAATGATTTTTAATTATTAAATTGAATTGAGTTAAGTTGAGTTAGGATTGTAGATAAAGATGGTCTTATATCAGCAGAATTAACAAATCCACCAGAGTATTCCAATTTTCCAGAGAGTGATTCAACCTTCAAAAACACTCGAAATGGCCAATTACTTATTCATACACCACGGTCACTACAGTACCCAGTAAAACGAAAAAATTGGTGAGGAAATTTTGAAAAGAAAGAGAATCTACGCCACTTAATTATTTCGACAATACATGAAAGACAGCAGAAAATAAAATAAAATAGGGCTGATTTATTCACTCTCTTTCAGCATACGACTTACTCCGAGTCCGACTTTTGTTGTTTGCCAACATCTTTCAGCTTCTCTTTCAACTCACCTGTCTGCACAGCAACCACATATTTCAGAGCTTATTACAAATGAAGGCGAAAAGAACATCTTCACTAATTATTATTAGTGTAAAAGCGTGTTTTGGCATGACAGAAGGAAATAATGGCGAAACCTGATGCATGTTAAGAATGATATCAGATCCTCCCACAAACTCCCCTTTGATAAATATTTGAGGGAATGTTGGCCAAAAGCTGCAAAAATATTGACAATGTGTTATTAACGGGGGCAAAATAGTTCCCATCTTACATTCTAATTTCAGATAAAATTGTTTACTAGAGCAAAACTCACGTAATTCTTTCGTGGGTGCATCGGGTCTAAATTTTGATATCCAACTCAAACTGAATAAATTCTCTCATTCTTCCAAAAATAAATTTAAGAATTTTGTGCTAAATTGAGCTGCATTTATGCGACAGAATCAATCAATCCATGCCATTTCCTATCAAATGCAAGTCGGTAAATGAGAAGTACCCGGCACAAACCAGAGGATGAGTACTGTAAAGATAGAACACGTAATTTGTAGCCCCTTAAATCTGTATACAAACAGTATGTGCAACTCCAGTAGAAGTAGACTCCTAATAGTTTCTCTTTTATGCATTCTCTCTCTTGCCCACGAATGTTCATATTATCACATACCCAGCACAAACCAGAGGATGAGTACTGTAAAGATAAAACACGTAATTTGTAGCCCCTTAAATCTGTATACAAACAGTATGTGCAACTCCAGTAGAAGTAGACTCCTAATAGTTTCTCTTTTATGCATTCTCTCTCTTGCCCACGAATGTTCATATTATCACATACATATTTGCGACAACTCATCATTTATTGTAGGACGAAAAAAAGAAAGAGAAAGAAAAGTTTGCTAAATGGATAACTTACCTGTAGGATTTAACAGCATTCTTTAGCTCAAGGTTTGTTAGTATATTTCTCGCACTTATAGGAACATCTGAAAGAACAAATGAACTGTTAAAATCATGTAAGTAAAATATTAGCAGGAATCGCACGCTAGTGAATAACAAGCATAATCTACAATATCTTGACCACGTCATGTAAGAAACCATGTCGAGTACCAGGTCAAAATTAGATCCAGTCCAAAAACACATCAAATCAATCTCTATCTTTTACTTATGCCATGTCAAATTATCTCTAGTCCCAAACATTCTCAGTAACTTCATAATTTTGTAAACATGATAGTGTAACAATATTAAAAAGAAACGAGCAACGTAATATGATTGAGAAGTGTTCAGCAAAACTAACTATATTCTTGCAAGACCCTCACTGCTAGTGCACTAAAACCACATTGAGGATGTTCTGGCACCCCTTTCATGTATATCATCACAGGGTTTTCTTTCACATCCTGCAAAGTACAATTAAATTCAGTGACACACATCAGGCTGATATATTCACAATGAATAAAACTTGAGCAAAACGTGATAAAATTTCAGAGCTATGCCGAAATTTTGTCAAACCGACGTGTTGCTGAACTTTTTTCTGACGAGCGATTTTACCTTCTCAACAATTTCATTCAAGGAGGAGGCAGATTCTTGAACTTTATTGGAGGGTCTAAAATCTTCATGTGTATCGGGGTCATCAGGAACAGTTGTCGAGAAACGAAGCATGCCCCGGTAGAAAGATCCAGATTCCTGTGCACGTAATCCCACATCGAATGAATAACACAGACACCTTCTAGAATTATGTGCATAATATCATATAAGAGGACTATGTATTGATAGTTGCTTGTCTCTCTACCATAAAACGTGCGCGCACACACACTAGAATATACTATTGACTTATTGTACAACACATTTATGTTCAGTTGCTTATCACAAGTAGAAGATGTATCTATTTACAGATGACCAAGATGTGGCCATGTGAAAAGGCCAGTAACCACAAGATAAGGCAATATTAATATTCCTTGCGCAAATGAATTTCTTATGCAGCTGTTCAATACATAATGAAGGAAGTTAACTTTGGGTGGTTAATCCGATGAATTATCGATGGTTCGCAAATATAATAGTCCCATCATGAGATGGAAGCTCAGAGGTGAAACAGACGATAGAACGTAGCCAAAAAAATATGATCTCTCACCAATGCAGTAGCTCTTATTCTTAACCATTAACTGATACTTCAACAATTTATTTCCACAATTTTTTTAATCTACAATCAATTTTTAAAAATTCAAAGCAGAACTTATGTTTGTTATATTGCTCTGGTTGTTGCACTAGGCTCAGGAGTCAGGATAGCCATAAATATTTGGTAAGCGGATATGACATAAGAAATAACATATATCGTCGAATGACAGATCTAACACAACTCTTGATTGTATTACTTTTTTCTAATAACACGAATAAGCATACATTTATGTGTGTATATCTGTGAATATAGTTTGGCAATTGTTTCCATAAGCTAAGGAAACTGCATAACGTCAAGACAATATCTACTCCCACTAACAGATGGAAAGAGTGCATAAGTTCTAGACATTTGCACAAACCTACAACGTAACGAGCACAAAGAAGAAATAAACTTACAGTCAAATTAGCAGCTGGAAAGGCAGCAATCCTTTTAACAAGAATGCTAGACAAAGACCTTGCCATTATTTTTGTTGCTTTAGTCAGGTATGTCGCTGAAAGCTGCACTGTTACAAATTAATTGAAAATTTACTCCAGACTACAGAAGCTTTTAGACATTTCAACCAACAAGACCTCGTGGAGAATGGACTTCTTTAATTAAGTAGTATATATTATAAAATATGAAACATAACACTTCAACATAGAATCATTATAACACAAAATCTAAATCAATTATCGATGAAAATTCATCTAGAAAATCATTATCCATTATCGATAACACTTAATCCCGGAGCTTGAGCCGTCGGCAAAGTACGGACTCTGATTGGAAAAAGGATAACTGCCAGGGCGTTCATAATCTTTTTACCAAATAAAAAAAATAAAAATGCACACTTTTGGCCGGGAGGGACAGGAAAACTGGTAATTTATTATCGCCTCAAAAATCGGCATAAGCATAACAAACAGGAACTCGAACCCTAATTCATTGTCAAGGTAAATGCGTAATAATTTTCATAGATCTCTTAGGCCTCATTTACTGAACAGGATGGGATATGATGTGATAGGAATTTAGCGCTGTCAAAACGGGCTGGCGGACGGACCGGCCCGTAGCCCGCCAAAGCCCGCCAAAGCCCGCCAATTGGCGGGGCGGGGTGGGCGGGCCTGAGAAATGCTGGCCCAACCCGCCACGCCATTAGCCGCGGGTTTGGCGGGCCAGGCTCGCCATTTACCAAAAAAAAAAAATTTATTTTACAACCAAATACAAGCAGTCAAATATTCAAAGAAATATGTTCCAAGGTCCAAGCAATTACTTCAATTACAAATTCACATATACAACAATAATTTCACAAACAAATTCAGTTGTCTGAGTCGGAGGATAGGAGGCGAGGAGATGAAGAGGGAGACTGCAACCTGATTCAATTTCTGAGGGGGAGGCGAGGAGATGAAGAGGGAGGCTGCGATCTGATTTGGTTGTCTGAGGCGGACTGGCGGAGGCGAGGANGTTACCGAATATTCAGTAACCGAAAGTCGGTTCGGTTACGGTTTGATACCAAAAAACCGAACCGGTTTTGAACACACACAAAAAAAAAAAACTTCTAGTGTTTACTTTTCTCGTCATTTTAGTAACTTTCTCACTTCATAGAAATTAAATATTCACAAAGACTCACAAATTCATTGAAGGATTAAAGAGTTACATTTAATATATAGAAGTTAGTTTAAATATAGTTAGAGTTTGGATTTTGTGTTAAACGTAACTAATAAAATTAGCCATGGAAAATAGTAGTAAATAGAGGCAAAAGTGAAAAAAAATTTGACGTCTCTGGAAAAGCATGTTTTCGAACACGACACTATCATTTGATGTGAATAACATATTTGTCGCGCACTATCGTGTTTTGAAGCAAAATCGTTTACTTTATTGTTGAACATCCAAAAAATAAAAGTTGTGATACAACTTCAAGTGGTACGAGAATAAACTACAGTTACATTACCATCTTTCATAGAAGGAGTGAGACTGGTAAACCGACATTTGTGCTGGTGAGAAGGTGAATGAGGAGATGGGTAGTGATATGTTTCTCGTTAGTTTGGGGTTTAGGTAGGGTTGAGTCTATACTTTAATTTTTAAACACTAAACACTAAATAATTAATCCTTATTTTAATATTTACAAACAAAAAATCCTTGTTCTAAATTTTTTTTACCCTTATCGGTTCGGTATCGGTTTTACCGACAATTATGGGTTTAAAACCGATACCGAACCGATAGTGATTCGATAATCGATAATCGATTATCGTTACAAGCGGTTCGGTATGGTTCAGTTTATTTTGTCGTCGGTTCGGTTTGATTTTCGATTTTCGGTTAAAAAATGTCAGCCCTATTATATAGCACAGCCGAGCCCAATTCGAATTTTAAAATTGTTGTAATTAAGAATTACGTGAATTTTATATAAGTCGTATTGTTTGTATTTAACTGGAAGAATAGGAAGAGAATCCTATATGCATTCTTTGCAAAAAGTATTAGTGTACGTGAGGAGAAAATTTTTGAAATTGGCCATTCAAGGAATTAGAAAAATATTCTAGAATGCAACTTAATATAAAAATTCAAATTTTTGACAAATGAGATTTGATTTATAAAAGAACATAGAAATTTTGAATGAATTGGTTAAAAGAACAAATTGGTCATAAGAATGTATGTATACTTTTGTTTTGCCATCCACCATATATTTTGTGGTACAATATAATATTTACAGTGTACCACATAGCAAAGAAAAATATAACACAAAAAAAAGTCTATGTTAGCAGGGGCGGACGCAGACTTTAAGAACAACAGGGGCACAAACTATGGTCAACGGTCAACGCCGGATGTCAAGGGTCAAATCAATATTTAACCAATTAAAAAAATAAAAGGGTTAAATCTTGATCTTTAATAGGTATAATTGACTCTCACATTCTCATTTTACTAATAGAGACACATTTGATCCAATCCCTATATAGCATATACATTTATGTATAATATTTGTTCTTTTATATATTTTGGGAGGGAAAAGGAAATAAATAAGAAGTTGAGTATAACATAAGTATAAATTCCACAACTTAAAAAATAACATACTATTGAAGGTTAAATAATTCTAAACATTTTATTTTTATTTTTTATATTAAAATAACTTTGCATAATAATTAATAACATATATTTTTTTATGTCAATATAATAATACATTTATGCATATAACATATATATACTATATTACTAAAAAAGTTCTACAAGGGCCCGTAGGGCACGGGACCCCATGTAAGTCCGCCCCTATATGTTAGTGAAAAGAAGTATCTATTAGTGAAGATTAATTTGAATATGTAAAAGTAAGGAATAAGAATGAAATTTTAAAATGGGTTGACAAACTAACAACGCATCTTTAAAAATATATTGTTGTACTGAAAATAATAAAGTGAACCTAACACAAATATTGAAAATTTAGATTTACGTACGGAAAAAAGTATTTATGTTGAGATAATAGAATGTGCATTCCACCGGCTCAGACCTAGATGATAATTGTGTTAGGATTGGTTCATTTCGATTGTGCGATCTCATGGTTTTCGGACAAGAGGTAGCTTTGAATATTTCGTTTTTTCAAGAAATTTATTCGAGACATCGTACATTTAAGTGACATTCCATAAGCTTTAGTACTTCGAGGGAGGGAGTACAAGGGTAGTTGTGGGAAAACGTGTAGTCGTGGTGATTAATAATTTTTGAGAAAATATGAGAGTTACTGATCAGATGTTGGGATTCGGTTCCAGCGGGTTGCAACAAGTTCACCCCAACAGATAGTGCAATAGAACGAAGGAAAATCTCTCTTAGGTAGATTGGTTGCTTCAACGATGAGTTACTAAGAATTTTCAATTTTCATTTTGAGTTGTGCAGCAACGACATAAGTTTTGAACATAATTCCATTAAATCAGTAGTTTATACTCCAAGTAAAATGTGGACAGAGCATTGTCCTAGTCAGGAACATATTTGGACGTGAGTGTTTCAACACACTTGCTATTGTCATTTTGTTTTGATTTAATCTATTAATTTTGTTAACCAATCGACATTTATTAGGCATTATTTTTTATCTGGTTGCCTTTTTTAGCAAGTACAGATGCAAGTACTAATCTTAATACAAATACACAATGAACCAAACTTAGATTAGATGGATTGTGTATCACAAGTATAAGCTAGACGATAGCTATATACCAATTAATTACAAATTAACCTCGTTGTTTAGCCTAATAAAAAGAAAACCTAAATGTTGTTTTAAAAAAAAATATATAATGTCCCTTGTATTCGAACCTGATGTTTGAACTTCAGGTCGTTGCATTTAAATGGTGTTGCATCTTTACATAATTCAAGCATATTATTAAAGACATAAAAGGAAACTGAGGGCTCATTTGTTAGAGTAGATGAGATTAGATAAATCGTATCATGAGAGATGAGATTGTACTGTTGAGATTATATGAGACTTATGTTTGTTATTAAGGATTGGTCCAAGATAGGATTTTGGTAACTTTTGTGTTACCCATTTGTTTTGCTAGATAAGATATAAGATAAAATGTGTGAATTACTAATGTGCCCTTAAATTAAATTAATTAAAATATAGAGCTCCTCGCCTTTATTTGTACCGTAAGATATAAGATAAAATGTGTAATTACTAATGTGCCCTTAAATTAAATTAATTAAAATATAGAGCCCCTCACCTTTATTTGTACCGTTTATACTTTCTATTGCTCGCAATGTACTCTCATTTCGATTGCCCCATTTTAAACTACTTATTTTTTTTCATCTTCTCCTTGTTGACTGCATGTTTGAGAGCTCCTTTTTTGTGTGGTTCCTTTTATCCTAGGTAAGGTGGAAATAAATATGGATGTTTCATAACCATGAAAGTAGAGCCGTTTTCATATTCCAGCTAGATACAAGAAAATACATATAATGTTACTTTTTTGAGAAATAAACACTGAATAAATTGTTATGTGATGATCATATAACTTGGTTAATATAGCTAAACCGGGAAGGGTATGGCAGACAAGTATTATTCTATAATTTCATCATTTTACTTTTGCAGCAACTATATAGTCCCATAGAGCAAATAATAAAACTCATAACATTCAGAAAAATTTCCACAGCGATATATATAGCCAAAGGAAGCCTCTTCACTCATTCCCAATAGTTTTTAGTTGAGCTCTTTAGAGTAAGTGACTATCATGTTTAGTCTCCCCATCGTAAATTAATGAAATCCCTGTTAGTCCATTTCAATAGTTTGAAACTTAGATTTGATAGTTCACTTATTAAAAGCTAAGTTCAATAGGAGTGAGATGAACAAATATTGCGCAAAGATATGCTTGCTACTTTCACAAATTGGTTCATCCTCATTAGAAACTTCGAAATAATATTTCCCAATCAACATAAAAGGTGCATGTCAGAAGCTTCCCATGCCAGGTAAGTACCTATCAAGATGTCAAAAACTTATATAACCGAAGTATTCACTTTTTCCTCAGAAATTACAATTGTACCTACATTATTTCAGTTGAGTCTCTACTTGAACTCTTGTAATTGCTGATTCTAAAGCAGCTTCTTCCGCTGCAAACATCATAATATTTAGAACAGTCACAGCTTACTTATAACATAGTACAAATATTAGTAGGAAAAGAAAATCGCCAATTAAAGTACGGAAAACACCAAATGGGGATGGATTATTGCAATTTTAAAGCAAAACTGCATCAGATCATCTCATAGTGATCTTGAGTTGGCTGAACTGAAATGATAGAAGCAGTGAACGGTGGAAAAACTAGAATAATTAAGGACGAAGAAAATGGCGTGATGACTCAACAGAAACAATCATCAAATTCACTAACAAATGATGTGTCGAATGCCAATAAACTTCACTGTAATTTCACTGTACTCTCCAAGAAACCAACTAATTCTATCTCAAAGCATAGACAACGAATAAAAATTAATCACTTGAAGAAATTGAACTGTGATAGCACCTTTGATATAATCCTGAATTTGAAGCTGGACAAATGGGTTGGGAGTAGCCTATGAAGAACACCCATCGCCGCAGATTCTTGTTCGGGAGGTGACGATTTCTTGGCATCTAGACGGTGCAGTAGAGTTTTTACAGCTTCTGATTCTTGAACTGAAAATGAAGAACATTTGGATAATAGCAGCAGTGAAATTGTCACGAATAATAGTTCTGGTTTAGATTTCATGTTTAGGAATGTAGACTGCAAAATCTTGTTCTTCAGGGCCAGTGATCATTTGGAGCTGAGTTCTTTTTCTCTCTTTTTTTTTTTTTTTTTGAAAATTGCAAATTTGGTCCCAGAACTTTTGCTATTTCTCATATTTGGTCCCAGGCATGCCAATTATGGTCCTTTTTGAATTTTCGTTACCAATTTGGTACCACTCCGTCAAGACTTAACAGCCTTGTTAAGTAAGACGTTAGTCGTTATTTTTATTTTATTATCTTTTATTTGAAAATCGAACCATCACTCTCATTAACAAAATCGAGTCCTCTCTCTCTCACGAAAAGCAAAAATCAACAAAAATTAGGGCAGAGAATTCCATATCAAATTCATCACAAAAATCGACATGAACCCTAGATAAAACTGAAATCAGATGCCGATAGTGAAACATGCTTCGCTCAGAGGATGCAGCATGTTATTCAAACCCGAACATTTATTGTCGTGATTCTTCTTTCACTCGCATGTTTTTTTTTAATTTTGTGCACATTCGGCATTTTTTATGTTAGTTTTGTACATTATTTAGGGTTTTTCATTCTGTGTAGGATTTAAGGGATGGAATTTGGTAATTTAGGGTTTAGGGTTTATTTTATTTGACAATTTAGGGCTTTAGGGTTTATTTTATCTGATAAATTAGGGTTTTAGTGTTTATTCCTTACAATGTAATTTGTAATGTTGGGATTAATGTATGTGGTCCACTAACATTCGTTTTCTGATAAATTAGGAACTTTAATGTTGGGATTTAATGTATCTAGGACATGTTTAGTTTTTATTGTGATGAGTGGTGGTCCATGAATTCGTTATGTTCATTTTCAAGACAATTTCACTGGTGGTCCATGAACTTTATTCTTATGTTGTTTATTTTTACAAGTGATGAGTGGTGGTCCATTGTATCAAATTTTTTATTTGTTTCATGTTATTGAATTGCAAGTGGCAAAGACCCTTATTACCTTACCTTGAAAATACACCCTGATGGGGTTATAATGGATGATATAACTCCAGGACATCAGAGGTATGTGGAGGGAGAGATTAGTGCATTTGACTATGTGGACAAATGTAAAGTTAACATGGGTGACTTGTGTAGATTCTGTGAGGAGTTGGGTTATGGTGGAGTCAAAAGGTTTTACAGGTTTGACTCCTTCAAAAAGTTTAGGGAGATAACCATGGAAACAAATTTGTTATTGGCTATTGATAGGCATCAGAAGAGAGAAGTCCATATATGGTTAGATGCTGAGAAACCAGGAAATAGGAGTGCAGGTGATGGAGGTGTTCTTGTAGGTGCTGGAGGTGTTTCTGTAGGTGATGGAGATAGGAGTGTGCCTGTAGGTGATGGAGATAGGAGTGTGCCTGTAGATGATAGAGATGAGGGTGACCAATCTGAGGATGAGGACTTTTGTGCAAGTATGGAAACTGACAGTGGTTTTGATGATATCCTTTTTTAAGAATATGTTGAGGCAGAGGAGTGTGTGGAAGGTCCTAAACAGAAAGAGTACCAACATGAGGTTGATGATGAAATGTCCACTGACAGTTCCAGATCCAATTGCACAGAGGATAGCAGTCATGATGATTTCTCTAGTTGTAGTGACTCAGATGAAGAAAATGGGGAAAATGAGGAAACTGAGAGCAAGTCTTCAATGAGAAGCATATTAACAATCCAAAGTTTGAACTTGGCCAGAAGTTTCCCTCCAAAAAGATGTTTAAGCAAGTCATTCCTAACCATGGAGTGCTAACCCACAAAAGCTTGAGGTTTACCAAAAATGATAAAAGAAGAATTTATGTTAGGTGTTATGAAGAGCCAAATGGGTGTCCCTGGGCAATTAATGCCATTAAAATGACCAATGAAGAAGCATATACGATAAGATCTTACAATTACAGGCACTCTTGTGCAAGATCTTACAATTACAAGCACTCCCAGGTCTCATAACAGATTTTGTGTGAGACATTTACATGCCAAAATGCAGACAGCTGGGTTCAGAGGACTTGCAATTAAGAAGGCCTTATGGAGAGCAGCCAAAGCAACAGCATTTCCTGATTTTAAAGAGGCAATGAAAAGGGTTGCGGATATTGACCCAAAATGCAAGGAATGGCTTGAAGAAAAACTTGCACAACAGTGGTCAAAATCCCACTTCACCACATGTGTTAAATCAGACATGTTGCTGAATAACATGTGAGGTGTTCAATAGTTGTATTCTAGAGTCCAAGCAGAAACCAATCCTAACCATGATGGAATGGGTGAGGCAGTACTTGATGAGTATTCTGCAAGAGAATAGGGACATGGCTGAGAGAAAGAGGGAGGGTAAGAAGATATGTCCTAAGATCAGAATAATTGTAGATAGTCATGAAAGCAAGTCATGTGATTGCATACCAATCAAATCTACTGATTGGGTTTACCAGCTGGATTGTAGTGGTGGTGATCGACACATTGTGAACATGAAGGACAGAACATGTAGATGCAAGAAATGGGATTTGACTGAAATTCCATGCAAGCATGCATGCAGTGAATTATTGGCACAAGGGCATCAACTAGTGGACTTTGTGGATGAATGTTATTCATGTGAAACCTATGCCAATGTGTATGAAGTAGCCATTAATCCAATATCTGGACCTAATCTGTGGGATAGGACAGGATACATTCCTCCATTGCCTCCAAATTTTGGAAAAAGAAAAAGGGGTAGGCCTGTGAGGGAGAGAAGGATGGGAGCAGGTGAAGATAAGGGTGGTGGTAAAAAAGCCAAATTTAGACAGAAAATTCAAAAGCAAAGGGGACAGATGACTTGTACGTTTTGCCATCAAAAGGGCATAATCAAAGAACCTGTGAGTGGAAGAAGCTGGCTAAAAGTGGACTTCAAGATGGTGCCTTTGACATGGGAGCTGAAGCTGAGGAGTTGACTCAAGGAGATGAATTCCCATCTGCATCCCTCTTTTCTGAAAGTCAGCCTCAATCCCAAATGAATGTGAGTTACTTATGTCTGGTTCTGTTTAATGTTTATGCATTCCTTTTATATTGTTTCTTTTATGAAATCAAAGGTTGGTTGGTTTTTTTGTTTTTATTATATAGGCAACAACATCAAAGGGAGCAAGAAAAAGGCACTAAGGAGGCTGCTTCTTCAAGTAATCCAAAGCCATAAGTCCTTTATTAAATTCTATGAAATATCTGCAGTTTCTTGTTTGTTGAAATATTATGTTTGGTTATGTTGTATGAATATTTTTGGAACTTGGAACTTGGGTGTGCTGTGAACAATGTATGTAGCATATGGTGGTGGCTTCTTTTGATCTTTCGGCTTCTTTTGAACTTGGGTATGAACAATTGTGATGAATTGTTATGAACAATGGTTGTTGATTTGAATGGGCAGGGGTGGTTGTTTTTTGGATTTGGTATGAACAATTGTGTTGCTGCTTTTTTTGTTTTTGATTTGGTATGCCCAATGGTGCTTGGTCTGAATGTGTGGAATGTGTAGAATGGTGCTGCTTCTTTTGTTTTTGTCTTTGCAGTGGTTGTATATACAATGGTGCTTGTTGGATAATGGAATGTATCAATTGTGCTGCTTTTTTTTCTGTTGAATTATGTGGGTTTGTTAGGCAATCTAAAATTGAATGAAATAAATTAGGCTGTTGGAAAATTAGAAGCATTAGTTAATATAGAACAATATGTTTCCAATGGTACATAGAAAATCAGAAACAACAATTTTGGCATACATTAGGGCAAATACCATACATGATCTGCTCATTTTTTAAACATCAACACCAACCATGAGATTACAAGTAGTAGCACTAAAATGTTGTTCTTCTTATTGAGTTGACTATTGTCTTTTTCCAGCTTCTTCGCCTTCTTCATTTTTTTCTCATTTGCTTCAAGAGTAATTGCACTTCATGTCACCAGTTGGTTTCACCTTCTAGTCGATTTATTTAACGCAACAAACCAGGTATTATTTCCTATGATCTTGCACACATCAGAGGGTCAAACCACTTCCAAAATGTGCAAGTGTTCTGCCCGCACTCCAGGTACCTCCTTCCGGGATTGGCTGACGTCCATAAAGTTTTCATTCGAGCATACTTACCGCAAAAACAAAGAACTCCGGTTTCTCGCATCATTGAACTTGAAGAACTCTCTTTTTTTTTTTTTTGGTGGAAGATGGCTGGAGATGAAGAATTGAGCTTGTGTTGATTATTATTTATAAGGGGTTGCGTTCATCACAATTTCCTGACCATTTGAAGAGGAAGAAGGTAATTTTCCCTCCCTTTATACCTAGCAGACTTTGACTAACGTCTTACTTATTAAGACTGTTAAGTCTTGACAGAGTGGTACCAAATTGGCAACGAAAAATTAAAAAAGGACCATAATTGGCGTGTCTGGGACCAAATGTGGGAAACAACAAAAATTCTGGAACCAAATTTACAATTTTCTCCCTTGGATAATATAAAAAAGGCTAATTATAGGAAGGGTCGCGTACTCTTTTTTAATTACAAATTGACCTTACAATTGCTTTTATAAGTTTTTTGTAACGTTGGTGTGATAGGTATGCACTGTTGTGTAGCCCGTGTGATGCACGGGAAAATATTAAATAATAATATTATAAATATGTATAGAGTTTGAGTCACTTAATAGAGGAAGTAGACAATTAATTCTATTTAAAAAGAGGAAGAAGAAAATAATTATAAATTAAAGAGGATAAACAATACTAAATAATAATTATAAATTAAAGATGTGGGGTCAAACAATGTAAAATTATCTTGTATAAGAGAATATAAAATTTAAAATATTAAAAACACCTAAATATTATATTAATATATGTAAAAGTATTCAAATTTTTCTATATTATTTTTGAAAGATGTGAAGTCACCTACAACTTTTTTAAACTATTTTGGAAACAAAAACATTTAAATTTAACATCTGTATAAAAATAATTTCTAAACTATTTTGTAAAGAAAAATGTCTACAAATATTTAAATTTAACATCAATTATATATGTGCATATGTATATATGTATATATTGATAGAATATGTCAAAAAAATGTCTAAGCAATTTGTTTAAAGTATTTGAAATATTATAAGACTACATAAAGACATTATCTCACGCTCAAGCTTTTAGTGAAGATTTAGATTATATCGGATTTGTGATTTTACTTCCATCTAAAAAATTTGATTACACCAAATTTCAAAATTATTATCATTTTTTTTATGTTGTTACTATACAAATTGTAAGAATATAGTAATTAGACGGGTGAAAATTAGCTTTTTAAAAAAATTCTTATCTCACGCTAAAACTTTCAGTGAAGATTTAGATGATACTGAATGTATGGCGTTACTTCCATTTAAAACTTTTGATTACACACCAGTTTAAAATTATTATTATTTCATGTTGTTACTATACAAAAGAATTTGTAAAAATATTAGTAATTAGATCAATTGTGTGAATTAAAAAATACTATAATATTGTTCCGACTTTAAGGGCAACAGTCGGACTGTTGAATCATATTTATGTTCCAATTTTTAATGGCAATTGTTGGACTGTTGAATCAGATTTTAATCAATCGTGTGAATTATTGTTCGCATTTTTAATGGCAACAAACGTGTGTGGAACCAAAACTCAATATTTTAGGCTACTTTTTTAATGTTGTCAGAAAATCTTTACAAAAATTTCTAAAAGTAGTATCAATTAAATCTGTCCGAAAATTTTTGCTACCTATTTTTGTTAAATGTTAATCTCTTTATATATATATATGGAAGTGTCAAATATGGGCTTCCCAAGTATATACGCCCAATTGTGTACTTGAACGATATATCAGTTCACTAAAGAAATATCGCTGATCTCCCCATTTGGCTCTCAAATTACATTTGAAGCTCCGATAATAATTACTCGACTTATCTCTCCATGTTTAATATATAATTTCCATCAATTAATTAATTATTGATAATATAATTAATTGATTTCTTGTGTCGAGACTAGTACCACTCAATACTTTATTATTATGTCAGAATTTAATCCACCGACAGGTTTAACATAATAATCCTTCTTGAACTCATATCGGAGACATCATCAGACTATTACATATGGTGGCCGTAAATAATCGAACAACACACCACACACACAACATCACTACCCAAAACACATCTGACTATTGACTTAGCATAATGAGTCTCACTTTTTAGTGAATCAAAGTAGCAGCTACTGTATGCACGTGTCTGTTTATATATCTTACGGGTTAAGAGTATGCAGTAGCTAACCGAAGTCTAGTATGTTTACCGACTAATTCAAAAGAAATTTATCCTCTCTGGGATCCGTTCAAAACAATCTTCTCTAGATCCATTCAATTTAAAGCATTATCATTATCAATGACGGATCCACATGGGGTCCAGGGGGGGCCAAGGACCCCCCTCATTTTTTTAAATATCATTATACTATAATATATGGAAAAAAATGCAAAAAAGTATTTATACTATATAAATAATTAAAACTTAGTTTCTATAATATTTTAATTTAAATTAATATAAATAATTAAAACTTAGTTTGTATGCTATTTATTGAAAGATATACTAACGATCCTTATATTTTACATTATTAGATAAATTTTTAAACATATTTATAATGATTTATTCTTTCGGTCTCTTAATTGAAATCGATTTAGTGATTTATAAAACCGAGTATTTAGTTGGATTGTTAGATTTTTGAATGTTTATTGTTTACTTTATTTTTTTGTATAATCACATATTTTTAATTTTATTTATTTTTTTCTTAAAAAAAAGTGGTCGTTTGATAAACTCAAATTTTAAATCTAAAAAGTAGTCGTTTGATCAACAAAAATGCAATGCAACGTGCTGTAAATGTTAAATTAAAATCAAATTTCAAATCAAAAAACTTATTTTTTTTATTAATTATAGATGTTGAAATTAAATTATAAATATATGAAATCTCTTATTTTTTGTTTATTTTTGTAAAATTTTGATGGTGATATAGATTCTAAATTTTTTAAAACTTGATGTTACATGTATCGATATTTATGTTTATAAGTAAACACATTTTTTTATTGAATACGCGTTTGGATTTAAAATACAAGCTCGTTATTTTATATTTAAAATTGGACCTCCTGAGTAAAAATTCTAGATCCGTCACTGATCATTATGGTATACATCCAAATATATTTTGGAAATAAGTCATATTTTCTTTTTCTTTTTCACCTAAGGTAGTCACGAGTTAATACACTCATCAGCGGATTATGGTATTCAAATACGACGAGATCTTAACACGCGATTGGGATTGGTCGGCGCGTCTTGAAAATCTCCTTTTGTTTATTTAAAAACTTGTTAGAACATTGTTAGGATACAGAAATGCCTATATATGCTAGCTATTTTATTAATTGCACATCCAGCATTTGTGTATAACAGTGTGGCATGACAGGAAGTTGGATTAACAGGCAAGGGCAAAATCTGGACTCAACAGAACATGATTTGTTTTGACCAAATGTATGAAACTGTTTGAAATTTGAGAACGATCAAGTTTTATGAGCTAAGGATAGCTGTGTGTTGGATACCGCGTGTGTGAGCCAGATCAGGTCTTAAATATAGGTTTATTA